GGACTTAGATCAGCCCCTTTTCCCTGACCCCCTTCAGGGAGATGCTTTTGTACATTTGTAATACACATAGATTCTTTGGTTATAGTCTGCATTCCTTCCTGGCATCCCCCAACCTCCTGAAATATTATTTTTAATTTTGCATATTAGCATAGATTCGCTCTTTCTTCTGTACAGTTCTTTGGGTTTTGACATATGCAGAAAGTCACGTATCCACCACTACAGCATCATACAGAGTAGTTTCATGGCCAGAGTCACTCCTGGGTTTCCCTTAGTCAAATGCCAACCCTCCCCACACCCCTGGCAACCACTGATCTGTTACTGTCTCTATAAATTTGCTTTTTCTGAAATGTCATATACGTGAAATCATGCAGTATGTAGCCTTTTTCAGACTGGCTTTTTTTCACTTAGCAGTGTATATTGAAGATTCATTCATTTCTGTTCATGGCTTCATAGCTCTTTCCTCTTTATAATTGAATAGTATTCCATTGTCTAGATGTACCACAGTTTATTTATTCACTCACCTACTAAAGGACAGACATCTTGGTTGCTTTGACTTTGTGCTGATTGTGAATAAAGCTCTGGTAAACATCTGGGTGCAGGTTTTCAAATCCTTTGGGTAAATACCAGGGAGCACAATTGCTGGATCGTATAAGAGTATGTTTAGTTTTGTAAGAAACCACCAAAACTGTCTTCCAAAGTGACTGTATTTCCACCATTTTGCATTCCCGCCAGCAATGAATTACAGTTCCTCTTATTCCACATCCTTGCCAGCATTTGGTGTTGTCTGTGTTAGGATTTTGGCCATTTGCATAGTTATGTAGTGGTATCTTGTTTTAATTTGTAATTCCCTAATGACATATGATGTAGAGCACCTTTTCATATGCTTATTTGCCCTTTGTAATTCTTCTTTGGTAACACTTCTGTTCAGATCTTTTGCCCATTTTTAATTGAGTTGTTTTCTTATTGTTGAGTTTTAAGAGTTCCATGTATATTTTGAATACCAGTCCTTTATCAGATGTGTTTTGCAAAGATTTCCCCCCAGCCTGTGGCTTGTCTTCTCATTCTCTTAACAATGCTGTTCACAGAGCAAACGTTTAAACTTTTGATACAGTTCAATTGATCACTTTTTTTTTTTTCATGGACCATGCTTTTCCTGTTGTACTTAAAAACTCATCACCAAGCCAAGGTAAGAGAGATTTTCTCCTGTGTTTTCTTCTAGAAGTTTGGCATTTTACATTTAGGTCTATGAGTGACTTTGAATTAATTTTTCTGTAAGAGGTCCCCTGAAAGGATTTTCAAAAGCTCTTAATCCACTACCACCCAACACACACACATGCATTTTGAAGTTCACATTTACAATATTTCAACAGCTATTTAAATAGATGTGAAGGGTGTAATTTCTGGTATATTGTAAATACTGACTTAAAACAAAAATTGTGATATCACTTTTTACACGAAGCCAATGGCATCAAAATCACCTGGTGAACTGATACCCATGTCCATCTCAAAGTCTGCATGCTGGCTCTTCTTTCCCAGGCTCACTTGGGAAGTGGGACCTTTTATTCCTGTCTCCACTTTTCATCTGCTGCCTCTCAGAGAGGTCTCCATGTGCCACTTTTCTCCATGTGGACAGTCTTCTGTTATTCCTCCATCGTACTTCTCTGAAACACAAATGTATATGTTACAGTTCTTGTTATAACCCATGACCATGGGGCTCTGATCATGTTTCTTCTGGCATAATCATCAAACAAACAAGATGGATGGGCTCCAGTCTGCGTCAAATAGGACTTACTGCCAGTGTGAGATGGGGCTCACCATCAGTCCCATTCCTCTTTTCTGTTTTTAGGTGTAAGTCCTAGGAAGCCCTGTTCATAGAGATGAGCAATTGGGAGTGAGGCTCATGCTGCCGAGTGCTGGGGCCCTTGGAACCTTCTTGAGTGAACTGAGAGGAGCAATTGGGACAGGGTGGGGAATGGGAACAAGAGAGGGCCTTCTCAGACTTACCGATTTTTGGACAGAGTACATGTGGGAGTTGAGATCTGGAAAGATGATTTTAAAAAACCTCTGCCTGCCCCATGGACCCTCTTAAAGACTGTGTGATGCCAGGGGCCTGCAGATCCCTATAAAGACAGATTCAACAGGTGACTCCTGGACCCTGCGATTCTATGAAGCCCCTGCAGCTCTCGCTTGTGTGACCGTGCTCCTGTCAACAGCCAGGACACCCATCCCCCCCATCCCTGGTGAGGACTGGACCCCCTGGGCAGTGCACCAGAACCCATGGGACTAAGTGAAAGGAATCCACTAGTTGTTGAAGAGATTGATTTTGGCCACCCAGAATTTATTTCCTGAGCACTTCGCCTGGGCCAGGTCAGCAGAGACACTTTGGGAGTGGATGTTATGGTGAGGAAAAGACACAGAAGCTGATGGATGTTCTGAAGACAGGACC